TGGAAAAATATGAATATTAAATCCTACTGTAACGTTTCTTGGTTTCTCAAATCTTCGCTAGATGGCGTTTCACAGGAAAGAGAATTAATCTATCATACGTTCAGTAGATGGCGTGTAAAGTAATAATCGAAATGGTTTGGGAACGGGTTGTAGTAAAAATAACAAGTCAAAATGCCGATCAATCGTCCAAAATATATCTGTAATGATAAGTCTTACATTCCAAATTAAATTTAATTTTTCGTAATTATTGGTTTTACATAATGATTATGATTCAAACATACAGGAAAGTGACCTATTGTTTAGTTATGTATCATTGTTTCATTATAAGGAAACTGTATAATAACGGTATAATTAACTTACTATGGTTTTATTATCTTTTTATGCTGTCTCAGGTAGATATTTATTGCTAAAAATGATCAATTTTATTGATTCACGATAAAATGTCTTCATGTATTATAACAAAGATTCAATTATGTAGGTATTGTTCTTTTACTCAACATAACTATGTCCTATTCAACCTTTTGATTTGAAAACAAGTGTAGAACTACAGTATTACTTGCGATAGTCCCACGACGCACTTATCTTTATAAACGATATCTAAGTTTTATATGAAAATAAACATTGTATATTGATAAAGCAATGTTTTACTATATTTTAAAACAAAACGCGATTTGAAAAATTTAAGTTAATCAAAGTATTGGCATTTAAACGTTATTATTTAAAAAATATTGACGATGTAATAAATTATTATACATCGCATTAAGAATAATTTCAGTTATGATATAAAGAATTCAATAATTCATGATCTTAAGAACGTTATCGAGTTTTCATTATATGTTATTTATCTGACCTTTGTGATGTCAATGAACCTAAAACATTGAAAATGTAGCCTTGCATATTAAGTTAATTTTAAAATGTATGTAGGAGTAAATAGGACACTACAGGAAGTAAATAAGTTAAAAATACATATAAAACGAATAAATAAATCTTGCTGTGTTTTGGCTTAACGCCCGTTTACCAAAGTTTCCATTATAAGAACGACTTATAACGTCCGATAAAAATGTTTTCGTACATTTAGTTATAGTCGATTAATACAAATGTATATTGTAATAGGGTTACGTGTTAAGATTCTTAAAAGGGGAAAATGAAAACAAAGATATACATATAAAAATATTTTATTAAAAACATTTTGGTAACATTTAATAAGAACACTTAGGTAAAAATAAATCGACCTCAAAATCATTTAAAAAGAACAGCCTGGACTGGAAGTTCACGGAGGAAGCCGGAACGGCAAAAAACTAAAATAAATAAAAACAATGATAACACTCTAGGCAGACATGTCTAATTGACAACCAGAATTAAGGCATCGCAAGAATAATTATTTAAGTACGATCAAATACCTACGACTATTATTATAATTACAACAAATAAACGCCTAGTGCGTAGCGTTCGCTTGTGAAGCGTCGTCGTCCGGTCGTGTCGCGGCCGACGTCGCGACCCTGTACAGTCTCTTGGCAGGGAACTTACATAGAGTATTATTGCCACTAACATTATTTTTTATTCCACTCACGAGACATCACTTGCCACTACGCCATAAATACACTACTAGATACTAAAACATCCCAATCATACGAAGCTATGTTAAAATTTACCTAACTAATAATATTATCTTCGGTTAATTTTGATACTAGAATGTTATAACATCTCATATTGTACTCTTACATATAAGCTGGATTAAAATAAATTATGAGGATTTATTACACGTTATAAATAATATTGCAAGCATTACTGAGATTGTGCACGTTACGTGGGAATTAAACATAACAAAACTTTTGAAAATTAAAAACAAAAAACTTACAATAAAGAAAAACGATTGCTTATATTGAAGTGGAGGGTGTGGAGAAACAGCTACATTAAAGGAACAGTCAAAGATTAAATTACGAGCATTGGCACTTTCAATATTAAATCTTAATTACACTCGAAATAGCACTGCATTACAATAACCAACTTAAAAACTAAATTCAGATCAGTCATTTATGATATCACATCAAAATAAACAGGGAAATACATATGTGATAGTCGTTCGAACATTAAATACAATATATATACATATAATAATAATCTTTTCAAGAGGTATTAATTTTTCTTCTTAAGGGTTACTAATATATTGAGCTCTGCGCGCTGGACGCACTATATCACGACAACAAGAGAACATTAAACCAATGGTTTTGGTACGTGGAGATGTCTCCGAGATAGTCTATTTCGCTAAACCTACATAATGCTTAACATTTATACTTTAATACACAAGGTCCAAGCCGGCGGTTGATAGGAAAAGTCGCACCTCGCCGACGAAAAGAACCCTTCATATACAATGTTTATTACAAAAATACTGTCATTTGACTACAGTTCGTTGAGAAAACAAAACAATATGTATACATCGATGACATAATTGATACGATACGACGTATTATGTATATGATTATTATGATTCGACTAAACCAAAAATAAAATTAGACAAATAAAAATGCATAAAATTGAAACGATCAACATTGTAAAATCACTCGAAGAGCACTTAGCAATGGAAGGTACTAAATTGATATTTTCGATTTAATAGTTATAATAATAATATAAAAAAAAATTAATTCAAATAAATAAGCACAAACAACCAACATATTTGGCAATGTGGATTAAATAAATCATTAACAACTACAACCCATCGGATGCTAACTTAAACAAAACTGGAATGCAAATATTGCATCGAACCTCGGCCTCCGAAGCCACCCATACATTTAGTGTGCGTATCCCTCCAATATTTGAACTACATTCGATATAATATTGTCATATAATTAACTAAATAATAATCTGAATGCAACATTTCATTTAAACTAAACATAACAACCGTTTGTGAGTTTGTGTGACTGTGAATATAGCACACCATTACAGAGGACACTTCTCATGTTATAACATTTGTATTTAAATTTAGGCAAAATAATGTTCATTGTTAGGCAAAGTATCACTGTAAGCTGCATTCTGAGATCTATGCTATATTCAGTCATGACTCACTGAAAAAATAAATATTTTATATACATATATATATTATATAAATACAATTTAGTTCATTATTCTCATAATATCTGTTTACACTACATACATTCATAGCCCATTATTGTTTGCTAAAATAAAAGCAGCGATGAATCAAAAGATAATGGAAGTGATAAAAATGTCATTTTATATAATGATTACAGCTGATAGTGGTGTTTCGATAGTTTGCTCCTATTGTCACTAAGAATCTAAAACTGTGGTAAACAATGCATGGATCTTGGTCCCTTCCAGAAAACTCGCCAAAACTTTTGAAGCAAATTACATAACCGTGTAAATAATATTTGAACTAACCGTATTGTCTCTTATCAACATTTTTTTTTTCTCATATAAAAAATAACTTTGTTGGAAAATATATCAATATTATTCAAATACATCAGTTCCAATTTAAAGCTGATCACAACAGAGCAGAACTAAAGTTGCAGGACAGTATTATTAAAGACTACAGTAAACTATTTTACACATCACTTACAATTAATTCAAGAGACTCACACTATTTAAATATCTTGACTATATTAAGAGACCATGGATTATTACAATTTAAATATGAATTCATATAGAGATATTGCCAGTCTGTTAACGACACTTATTATAATTTCACTAGCAGCCCAGCATCTGAGCATCTGACTTGAACCATTAACCTCTCAGTAACAACTACTAATACCTTACAATATCTAATCACTGCTTTAATTTGTGATGATATGCACTTATGACCCATTTCCACTATGTTACCAATGGGTATGTCACGTTAATAAACAACATTGAAGCATTTAACACAGTAGGTAGTAAGATTTGTGGGCAACAATCGATTTTGTATCCTATTACACATGTCATCACTATATGTAAAGTGCGGACGGTAAATCCAACAATCATAATTAAATCTTATAAATTAACATACAGCTTGGCTATAAATTAATGCCACCTCGTTATAAAATAATAACCAGAATAAACGAAAAGCAGCCTTTTGGTTTTAACATTGACAATCCATTACAATGACTGTGGAATATATCTAAAACCTAAATATTATAATAAAACAATATTTAAACATTGACTTATGTTATGGTGGGTGTCAACTCATTATAAAGTTTGTCCATTATTTAAATATTGCTTTAATTTAATGATTTTAAATCATAATGTTGGATATGTCCCACAATTACTATGAAATTATATAATTGTGATTGAATAATTTAATTATTATATGAAACATTAAATATTTAAGATTCTTTGGATAACAAATAATAATTAATATGTCTAAGAGGAACTAATGTGTTATATATATTTTCTGATTTTTAAATTAATTATTATACTCTATTTGAAGTTAAGGACTGAGTTATTAAGTTCCTAGTATTTGGGATTTAAAATGCCAATGTTTTTGTATGTTCGTCATTTATGGCATTGTTTTAGAATAACCTAAATTTTATCACACAATTAAATAAGTTAAAAAAAAAACATAAAAAAACGAAATAAATTTGTATCGTCGCGCTTTTCACAGAATTTGTCAAAAAATTGCATTTTTAAATTAAGATCACAGTATTAAGTCACGATTAAAATGTAACTCTATGAATCGGCGTGACGATAGCCACATGCATATTCCACAGTCATCCGTACAACTGAGACCATCGAGGCAAATTAAATTGTACACAAAAATAATACGTTAATGCTACCATCCAGCGACTTGGAAAAAAACTACAATAAGAAAAAAAATTGTTCGTCATATAACATTTAAATTAATAGTGCCCGATCATAGGAATCTCTGGCATTTCAGGCTAAAATGTCAGATCGTCATATATGCATAAGTCGCTGGGAATAAATGAATATTACAAGCACCATAGCAAGACGTAAATTTTACACCCTGATGTATCCCAGTTGTACCCTTTGTTCCGTTTCTAAACTTTGTCTCGTCAATCTGTAGCGGCTACTACATACGAGAAGCCGCACATACGGCAAGAATCTTTTACATACTGCGTGCGAGTTCCGAATGGCCCCAGGCGATGGTACTGAGATCTGTTCGCGAAGAATAACGCCGGGTTGTTCGGCGGCAGGACCGTGGCGCGATAGTTCCATCGAGGATCAGTGAGATTGGCATTCAAATTGAGTATATCATGACCTCCGTAAATAATTTTAATATCGTCTTTCTCCTCTGCCGGGCGCGATTGTGGCTGCACGACGGGTTCGAACAATTTCTGAAAGTTGAAACATTGTTTATATTTTATAATATCCATAAACCATTAAATAATATCTCAAAAATATAATCTTTTAATGTAACATGCACAATATGTTGCTATAAAGGGGGTAGCATGAAAAAAATCGGCATGTTATTTGCTCTACGCATAAGTATTCTGGGACTATAAAATTCGTAGTAATTTAAAAATAATCTTAAAAAATAATTCATTACATTTAACAAAAACAAATAGGTTTAAAATCTTTCCATTATCACACGTCAATTGTGTTATACACAACATTGATAGCGTAAGACATTCGCCATTACGGAATATTATGAAAATAGAGAGGTCAAGGCCAGGACGAACGCAAAACAAATAGTGCAAATTATATTATAGTGATTAACTTACCTTCTCTGTTGTGTGAGGACTAGATGGTAGAGAGTCGTTATTTACCGACTCTGATTTCAACGAACCCAATGAGCCAATACCGCTAGATTCACTGGAGACAGATGGGCTAGGGCTCGTCTGAGATAAGCCCGCTATGTCTATGATATGCCTGTACGAGTTAAAATTTTCTGTCTCCAATCCAGCAAGAGGTAGAGCGACTGTTAAAGCCATGTCTGTAATCGAATAATATCTATTGTATATAATTTACACGTGCATATTAACTACTGTGTGAAGGATTAGAAGCTATGTTGACAGTCACAAACGCGCCAATTTTTTTATTATCATGTTACAGTGTATAAATACTTACCTTTGACTAGATAAAAACACTTATAACGTAAACACTGTATTGCAAACAGCAAAATAATAATTACCGTAAAGCGCAATCTCCAAAAAGTACAAGCCTCGACGTAGTTGAAAAAGATCGAACATTTACGAAGTGAAGTTGGTTACATATCTTAGCGTTTGCGTATGCGTGATATCTTGCGGCAAGCGGAAGTGTTATAATGTCGGTAAAACAGTTTATTACGCAGCAAAACAAAGAAAATTGATATTCTCATAACGAATCAAGCAACAGCTCTATGGTACTAGTTATGATTTAAATACAATATTAATCAGGTATACAAAAGATTATATTTGAAGATAATAATAATAATAATTTCATAAAGAATGGTGTCTACCAAGCGCCCTCTAGTATAATATGAAGCATTTAGACCATCTCGAAAGGTAACATCTACAATAGCAGTTTGTAAAACAGAAACTAGGTGGCGTTACAACAAAATACTTTATATGTTTTCCGACAGATGGCAGTGTCAAACATTCGCAAAGCAAACTTTAAAAATGTAGAGATCAATTAGGATTAATTACTAAAAAAGCAAGTTTTTATTAGAAATTTGCTGAAAAGTAACAAATTGCAATTAATAATTATTAATTTTCAAACAATGAATACAATTTTAATACATTTAAAATTTTAATAGATAGTAAAAATATACATGTATGAAATTTTCTTAAGTATTACCGCTATCTACATACATATAGAGCTATTTTCCTCACTAATATAATGTACAATCTGTAGATTGAACATTAATAACTGACAAGTAACATTTTTTTTTATCTGTTTACTTTATCAAAAACTAGATTTATTAGTGATAGACCATTAAGTATGTACTTCTCTAAGAATGTATGACTTTTGTTAATAAATTACATAATTATTTAACAAATGCCTATTTTGTTGTTTCTTTCAATAAATTTTTTGACGAGTTGTGAATTATTGATATTACTTTTGAGAAAAGGTAAGATATTAGGAATCTGAAAGGAATTATAAAATGATTTTTTATAGATTGTATTATATTATGTAATGTAATTGTAATAAATGGTCAAGTTTCCGGAGATTTTTTAATAGGGGTCTTCCTTGTCCGTTTCATTGAAATCAGAAACAGAATTCGAAAATGATATTGTCGTTGTCTGGATAATTACTTTTATATTTTCAAAATGTTATTATTAAAAATAAAAGTACCCATATATTTTCACCAAATTAAAAGGACTATATATTTGTATTATAATTAAAAACGTAAAAATGTAAAAGTTGATTTTTTTTACACGTATCTCTTTTATATACTTTTTTATGCTATGGCTTCATTCGCACTGGAATCGTGGAATATTTTGCCAATGTCAACGCTCTTTTATATTTATATTCTTATAAATGTTATTATATCAGTTTCAGTCAAAACATTGTGAATACGCATTTCCGATATCTACTATTGAATTGATTAAAAATAATAGCTTTCCAGATTCAAGATTAAGTGAAGTATTTATAAAATGTTCTAATATTAATGACAATTATAAACCTTATTTGTTTTATGATAATTTATTAAAGTTATAATTGACGATATTTGTATGTAGTAAGATAAGAAAATTCTCAAGTAGTTGTCACCGTTTGTTAACCGGTAGGTGTTGTTTGGATGGCAGCTTCTGTTTGATAGATATTCTTATTTCGCCACTTATATCGTGCGTTCAATAAAATAATAATAGTAAACATCCGTGCAAATGGCCGGCGGGCGGTCGGCGGGGGGCCCAGCGCGGGGCTGCGGGGGCCGAGCGGGGCCCCGTACAGGTTATCGATTCGCGCCAGCGCGACACACTGTATCTATCCTCTCATGGAAGCCCGCTCGCTGGCCCCACAAAGAAAGAGATAGGTTTCGCCGACTTTGATCCTTTTGTTTTTGGGCAGCGTCCGGCGACGCGGGCGGGGGCTGAAAAATGTGAAGGGGCGCTGATTGGCCGAGCTGGTCCCGCCTCGCGCACACAGCCTGCGATAGAACCTCCGCTCAGTTCAAGGGCGGCTGGCGACGCACGACGTCTTGTTTGGGTTTAACATTCAAATACCGATTACGACTATATACTTTAGTTCATCCCGTCTGTGGCTAATTGATACTTACATGGCATGTATTTTGATAATCATATGGTTAACTCGATTTCATAACAATTAATTAGGATCGTTTTAATTGTTAACTGTTTGTAGTTACACTGGAACTATCGCGCATATCTTAAAATAGCATTGATTATAACAAAGGCTGAAATTCGTAGACTAATACAGTTAGGTTGTTTGTATAACACAATTTCTATTCTTATAATTTACAATGTAGTAACATGATTTGGTTATTGAAAATGTAAAAAGGAATTAATAGATACGTACGATTTTCTTTATTGAAATGAAATATTCTAGTTTGCATAACCTGTGACGTGGATTTATAAATCCACAAAAAGAGAGTTTTAAGATAATTCTTGTTAAGTATATTTTCTATTTATAGCAATAATATTATTAAATATAAGTTATCGTATTTACATTTAGAATATCAAACCCTTAAACCTACACCTGGGTCACAAGTCCCAGGCACTGTTGAAGCTCCTTTCCTTGCAACGCGATGGACTCGGCACCCGCACGGTGAATCCAGTGAATGGTAAGAGGTTTCATCTCATGTTGGTGGTTTTAATCTTCACATAGTAATTGGAAAATGAGAATGATAGAAAATCGAAGAATAGGCCACAATCTATATTCTAATTTCTCTTCGCCCATACTTCTTAAACGGTCAGCTAATGCGGGCTGTTGTTGTCATATTTTCTTTGGGCAGCTTTTCTTAGCGCCTTACATTTTACCCTCACTCCGTTTCTGGTTGTAATATGACATGCAATAGATAGAGTAAAAAAAGTATGAGGTGTAATAAATGTTTCATTTCAACAAGTAGTTATTTTTTCAGTAAATAGCCCATATTAATTATTTTATGTTTTGTTGTTAGAAAAAATCGTAAGTTATACATTTTTATTAATGGAATTATTGTATGATTTTAATAGCTAAGGTTCTTAGAAAAATGGTCATCAACCAACGCTGTAAACCAAATAATATACTCATGACTCATCCTATTTAATAATTTATTAATGAATTCTATTTTAGTCGTTTAATTATTACAGGTTTTAGAGCAGTTAACAGGTTACCTTTCAAACTTATTTCATTAACGATTGACATAGGTATATAAATACAAATGCTTAAACATTTTAATTTACGTAAATAAATTATTATAAAGCGATTATTTTTACATGCTCCGTTTACGCAATAGGTATTTATTTATTATTTTTTCTTTCATCTTCTATCCTTTTTCTTCAACATTTGTTTTCTTGTATTCACATCTAATGTTTTTGGAAAATGTATCTTATAATAGTTGTTATATGAAAGGCGAGTATGATATGAAACTGTTAATATAATTTGAATCGATACAGCATATCGAATGTGTTACAAACGAGTGGTGCAGCGTCGATCACGACGTGCTGGTGAAATGGCGTCTTCTCTTCAAATTCCTCACATATACGGTACACTATTCTGTTGGAAGTTGCAGCGTTTTATTCCTAGTTTTAATTCCTTTCATAGTTTCGAGATACTAACCAAATGTTTTGTTGATTTTCAATTTTGAGTTATACATTTATAGGTACCTACCTACCTACGCCTACGTACATGGGAACAATTATTAAATAATATATAATATAAATACCAGAATGGTGTGCTTGAAATATTTGAATACGTTTGTAGAGATCATATGTAGCATGTAAATTTTTTACCTATTATTTTATACTAAATGATTTTTTTAATGTTGTCATATTTAGTGCAGATATTGTTAGGCGTTTTATGTAGTAAAGTTTATATAATAAGTATTTTTCTTAGAATTGTGTTCGTCCACGTTTTATTGCTCCGTGTGTTTACAAATCGAGTCATGACAGAGTGACAGGTAAATGAACGCGACCAATTGAGACTCCTCGCGTCATGTCCGGAATGCGATTTTAGTGAATCCTATCATATTACAGTATCGTTAAGGACTATTTTCCAATAAACAATAGTCGGGCTTTTTTGACTCAATTTGCAATTTTACGTAGTCACCATCTAGTTCTCTTTTATTACAGATGTATCGTTTGTTTTTGTTGATAATAAAAGGTATTTTGTACTTCAAAAAATAGGTATCATAAACAGTTCATTCACATCGAATTAGTCTCTTTCCTATTTCCTCTTAAAATCCTAGAAGAAAAGATAAAGGATTAAGGAATATTCCATAGTTTAACTTGAAAGTATTACAAATAACGAGATCGAGAGAGTTGAGTAAATTTAAACGTAACCTCGACTTATTATAGTTATTTAAATTCCTGCGATAAAAAGAAACTGTAAATCATATACATATAATCTATATCTAAAATATTCAGGTGTTGTGATGATGTGTAGCATTTGGCTAATGTCTGTACAACGCTGCTGGACCGTCGTTAAACGACGAAATATTTAAATAGGTATCCGCGATCCATCCACGGCTATCTCTGATAAAACGCCCCAATTCACATGCGTGAGCCTCGTGATGGATGAGTCCGACGATCAGACCCTTGCACCCCCCTCATCCCTCACCCCCTCAGCCCCAAAATTTGCCTTCCCACCCCCCGCCCGGCCTAAGTCCTGTAGGTAATCCATTACACTGGCATTTTTGCGTAATCCCCGTTTATAAATATGAAATTGAAGGAAGACCTAGTGATGCTTAATCGACTGGAGGTCGGGGTCGAACCGGCTCTCCGGCCCGATAATTTATGACCTGAAAAAAAAGGAAGCCCGAAACATGTGACATTTCAGTGCATAAATCATAATATTGGAAATTAAAAGATGATTTCGAACCGCAGATAGGTATTGAATGTTATGTAGGTACATAGCTACGAGTTTATAATAATTATGATCAATATAGTGCAGTGCCTTGCGATGATTACAGACGGGGTAGGTTGTGATTATAGATAATTATAGTTGGGGTGGTTCGGCCGCTGTGATGAGCGATTTGGGTATTATTTGCGCTTTATTTAGGTATTTATTGCGCTTGAGTGACGACGCAGATATTATGCTCAGTTATAATATGCGGCGTCCCTTGAGGGCGCCCACCCTACGGCTCCGTACGAGCGGACATTGATTTCGTAATATTTAGAATGAGACGATTTAAATATTTATTTGTTTACTTTTATTAATGCGCACAATTGAAGCTAAATGAATGGTTAATGAATTTTTGTGCAATATATAAAAGATATGTTCGAAGACGTCGGTTTATTTGAAATTCAAAGTCTTCTTTTTATTAAGTATAACAATTTAATCAAAATAATTGAACAGCATTCACTCATATAATATACAGTTATGACTGGAAACAGAGTGTACCACGAACAACTATTGTCAAGATTACGTCAAATCGTAACGCCATTACAATAAGTATACAGCATGATCACAAAAAAAACAAAATTAAATTATTTTATTTATTTATAACGCACAAATGGTTAAACATCAATTTACAAATATATTTTATGAGATAAAAGTAACAGTATAAGCTTAAATGTTATTCAATTTTCTTATAAAATTAATATGAAATATTTATATGTTAACATTTCTGTCAATTAAAAGTATAATCGCTTACCTAAAGCGACTATGATTACAATACCTGGGGGTGTATTATATTAATGTGCTGTCGGTGGATGCTGTCGGTTACCGGTTTAGTTCACTGATGTGACGATAAGCGCTTATTTGGGGGTTACCTCAGTTCTTTTACAATTTTAATGCCAATTAGACTACACAATATTGCCACAGCTGAAAGGATTGAGACCTTTATTAGTGTCGGATATTGTTATGTGCTCGTTCGCGCGGAAATTTGATGGTCATAGAATATGCTTATTAGGGACGGGGGATTCGTGTAACGTTACAGATTAATTGAATTACGCTTGCAGCAATAATTACGATGTATGACCAGAATTGCTTATTGTGGCTAGTTTATATTATTAATAATAATATGCAATTTTAATTTTGAAAATTGCAATCTTAACAAGTAAATGGACTACTGTTTTTCTTTGCTTTGTTAAATTCGTGATATCGGATATCGGGATAATAATATACGTATAAGTAACCACGTACTCCATTTCGGCCTAGAGGCCATAAATAATCACATATTATTTATTAAGTATATATATATTATTCTGCGATCGAACAAAATTAAATATTTTATGTCCGTCTCTGGTCCTAAGCTACTTCTCCACCAATTTTCAACCACATCCCCACAGCCGTTCTTGAGTTATAAATAGCGTAACTAACATAACCTTCTCTTATAAATAAACAATTAAAATTCATTAATTCATTTCTATCAAACTGTATATTTTAAATAATAGTTCCATATTGACCGTGTTTTCGTAATGTTCATATATTTTTTGTATCCGAACACATACATCACAACATTAATCTGACGGGATGATGGATGTAGCTATCTAATACATACGTCTCTTTATTTTTTAACAAGTGCGTATTCTCACGATAAAGTAAAACAGTTAGAGGGATTAATTGCATTATATCGTGTTAGATAAGTATTAATGATAACTATCAAGGGGTGTATCACCCTATGATTGTTGAATCCCGTTTATACAATGTGAATTATTACACTAATTACCTACTGTTATCACTTACGTATGTGTTGCGGATTGTTAAGAATGCTGCGTATGCGGTCGGTACACTATTGATGTTTGTAATTTATTTTTGACCATTGTTCAAATACTTATTCACACGTACCTACTTATTAGCTTTTAATATTCACAGGTCTAATATAAATGATTATTTTTTTACTTTATTCGTATTCTTCATTCATTTATTTGAAGTTGGAAAATATGATAAAAAATATATTATAAAGAATGCATTTAAAACAGACATCTGATTAAATTCTTGTTTATAGATGTCGTCGAATATGCGATGTTATTTAGGAAGACAAATAAAAATCAGGAACGTACCTGAAGTAGGTGTTGAATGTTTTGTTAGTAGGTACGTATTATTAAAACGAG